GTTCTTGCGATCGCGCTGCTATGTGTGGCGAATTCGCATGCTGCTTTATTGTAGCAAATATGTTTGGATGTTGTTGTGTTGAATTGATTATTGGGGATGTTGTCATTACCGTTCCTGTGGTATGGTAATTCTGTCCTTGTTGCACGTGTGGTGGTCACTGTTGATGTGTTTGCTGTCGTTGGGCTGGAGGCCTGTGCCAGCTCGGAAGGGCCAGCTGTTGGCCGGGCACCTTGGCCTTCGAAAGGTGGCGACCCTCACAAGGATGGCGCCCCTCCTGGTGGGCTGGGGGCCTCTGCCGGCTCCGTGGGGCAGCTGGGGGCCAGTGTGAGCTGGGCGCCTCGGCCTTCGAAATGTGGCGACCCTCGCGAAGATGGCAGACCCTGGTGGACTGGGGGTCTCTGCCAGCTCTGTCGGCCAGCTGCGGGCACAGCGCAAGTGGCCCTTTCAAAATGGCGCACCTCACAAAGAAAGTGCCCCTGGTGGGCCAGTTGCGGGCTGGGCGACTCGGCCTGTGGCGAACGATGGCGCCCATTCTGGCGAGCCGAAAGCCTCTGTCAGCTGGCTGAAAGCCTCTGCCGGCTCTGCGGGCCAGCTGCGGGCCCGGCGCTTCGACCCTCGAATACTGGAGACCCGATGATGGCGCCCTACTTGGCGGGCCAAAAACCTCTGCCTGTTCCGCGGGCCAACGCTGGGCCGAACGCCTTGGCCCTGTCGACCCTGCTCACGAGGATGGCGCTCCTCCCAGCGGGCGTGGCGGCCTTTGCCTGGTCTGTGGGCAATCTCGTGGCCCCATAAGGAGCTCCACCGAAGGTGCCAGTGGCAGAACTCGCACGGCGGCCTCGGGCCATTTCGGGATACCCCATCGCGAAGATCGTAGCCCCATCGAGAGCTCCACCGAAGGCCCCAACGGCAGGGTTCGCATAGCGGCCTCGGGCCATATCGGCACACCCCTCACGAGAACCGTGGCCCCATAGGAGCTCCACCGAAGGCGCCAGTGGCAGTTTCCCTCATGGCTCTCGGAGCCCTCTCCTGCTTCTGCTCCTCGGTCAGGGAGGCGCCGTCCTCGTCGTCATCGGCGCCCGCGAAAACGAACGCGAACGCGTCCCTGAGCATGGCGGGCCCCGGCGGGAAGCCGTGGCCACATAGGGGGCGTGGGCGAAGATGGCATTCACAATTGCGGTATCCACAACTTCGTGTGGTTGGGTCTTTCGCCAGGCTTTACGGTTAATTAGGACAGCGGGGTTGCCATCGGCCGGCTGGGTGGGGGTTTGGGGGTGTTTGATCACGAGAAGTAAGGGTGGGAAAGGGGGTGGGGGCGGGGGTGGGGGCGGGAGTGGGGGTGGGATGGGGGCGGGGGTGGGGCTGAGGGTGGGGGTGAAGGTCAAGCTAGCCAGCTCGAGCGAGTCACACATGGTATGCCCATTCCCACCCGCCCTCCCACAACACAAGAAACAGTGATGGCACAACGGACAGGCTGCTGTCTTCCCCCTCGCCGTACCCTTAAACCCCCCAAATCCGTTCCGAAGGAAGCCTTCGGACTCCTCCCCGGTCCAAACGCACCACTTTCTTCGAGTCGCGTCCAGCTGTGACTTAGAAGAGGACCCCGTGGGCCAGAAAGACTCGAACACCGATGCTCGAGGCGCAAAGTTCGAGCACCTCACTGAAACACTTCCCCTCGGCGCGCCGCCGACCATGACCTGTGGGCGGCGCCGGCGCCGTGCCGCCGCGACGGGCCCTCCTGGTTCGGGCTTCGAGGCCCCTCGGAAGCTCTCGCGGCTCTTGGGCCCACGTCCCCGACGATAAGATTTTCTCCGTGCTGGCGTTTTGTCCGTCGACTTCGCACGTTTTTCCCTCGATTTCGCCCTCCAGGGAACGGTTTTTGGCCCCCCGGACCAATGAGAAAATATCCAGGGCGCAAAACTGCTCCCGAGAAGGGGGTCGAGATCTCAGAAAGGCTTGGGACAAATTCGCCGGCCCAACGGGCCAGCGGCGTGCAAAGATCCCCGGTAACTAGTTAACAATATTCTAATTCGCGCGCGCGGGCCGCCCCCTGGGGGCCCCCGGGCGAAAAATACCCCGAGCAGGTCCCGGGCCAGCCCAACGGGCCAGAGGCGTGCTAAGATGTCCGGTGACTAGTTAACAATCTTCTAGTTTGCGCGCGCGGGGCGGCCCCCGGGGGCCCCCGGACGAAAAGAAGCCCGAGCAGGTCCCGGGCACGTCGGTCCCAGCGATGGTTTTCTTCTTCGGCGGTGACTTCCAGGTCCCAGAGCGCCCCAGGAACGCCCCGAGAGAGCCGAGACGCCCCCGAGACGAATCCGAGGGGCCCTGAATCGCCGAAAGATCGTTCCAAAACGCCCAAGGTGGCCTCCAGACGGCCGAAGACGCCGCCAAGAAACCGCGGGAAGCCTCAGGAGGCCCTCCACGAGCCTGAACAAGTAAAAACCTCACAGGCACTCGTCACCCCAAGGCCTCCTGGAACGCCCAGGCGCCCAATGAATTG